AAATTGTTAAATAATCAGTGTAAATTATTGCCAGGCGACTCGCGCTAAGAACAACTCACTCGTCTGTTCAAAGTTTTTGAAGGAATTGACGAGCCATACTAACCTGGTGAATTGCGATGGTATCTACAACAGTCAATTTCATAACTATCGAAATAACATTACTGTCGTTGTGAATTTAAATTTTGTTACTACCCCACCATGTGAAAAACAACATGGGAAATATAATAAAATAATAATCAGCGAATGTTCCGCTAAAATAATCCAATGTAATAATTGATGAAAACATCATAACTATACTAACCTGACAAATTCAAAACAATACTTTTAAATGTTAAGAATGAAAACATTACTTTCATGGTTTTACTATATCATTTGGTGCACGTATGTTTCGATAATCTTAATTGCCATGTGGGACTTACAGACATGTTTGAGGGGATCGCAATGCATTCTGGGAGAGTACGCAATGCATTCAGGGAGAGTACGCAATGCATTCTGGGAAAGTACGCAATGCATTCTGGGAGAGTACGCAATGCATTCTAGGAAAGTACGAAATGCATTCTGGGAGAGTACGCAATGTATTCTTAGTGAAACTGACAGTTGTTATTATACCCCGTCACACGTCGTTTAAGACGACTAACGTTGTTGGCATTTATTCAGTTTAAACTAGTGACGCATCTCCCAAGTATCCTTGGACTGGCCGTTTGACACTTTGGTGTTGATGTACCTTGGTTAACATACAGTTTATGTTGCTGTTGACAAGCATATTAGATCTAATTTATGAATTAATTACACTACATTTCCGAACCAGTATTGATTTCTAATTATGATCTTATTCATGTGTTTAACTTTTTTTACGAAGAAAGCATCAAAAACTGGAAACAGACTCCTGATTTAACTTTAGTGACTTAAGTTGAGTTCTGTGCTAATTTGCTGTTATAACGAGTTATTTTGTCTAAATAGTTATTCTCCCAACGAGGGGCAATATGCATGTATTTACAATTCTGATTTCAAAGCGTCTCGATAACAGGTTTTTAATTGAATTTCGAAGATGACAAAGTTACCAGATTTATTTTTATGGCAGAAATAAACCATTGCTTAATATCACACTTGGGAAATTAACGCTGGAATCATGTAGAATCTAATCCTCTTTAACGGGACAATTATCTCACAGCGTTTAACATGTGGTTAATTTAATTAATTTTTGACTAGCTACGGTTTAAGTGTCAATGAGTGAGGCTTTCGGGACAAATACCTGTTTACACTGTAACTGTACGTAAAATTAGATTAGATATGTTTAGTCATCTTGCCCACATTAGATGGTCGCGAATAATACAATACTCCTATTCGTGTCTTGCTAGCACGCATACAGATGCTCATGTCACAGGCAACACATACACGTGTGAATGTCACTGGCAACACACACACACGTGTGCGTGTCACTGACATCCCATACACGTGTTCATGTTACTGGCAACACGTATGCAATTGTGCATGTCCCTGATATCACATTTACATGCGTTCATTCACGTTTTCATGTCACTGATATCACATTCATGTGTTCATGTCTTGATAACACGCATACAATGTCCATATCACTGACAACACACATACAGGTGTAAATGTCACTGAAAGCACATACAAGTGTTCATGCCACTAACAATACAAATATACATGTGCATTTAATTATCATCAATTGCATGTGTTCATGTCACTAGCATCCATACACGTGTTCATGTCACTGGCATCCATACACGTACTCGTGCCACTGGCATCCATTCACGTGTTAATGTCACTGACATCTATACACGTGTTCATGTCATGGACAATAAATATTCACGTTCAATTGTCACTGACAAAAACTCATACACGTGAGCATGCCACTGGCAACACACGTTTGTATGTCGGTGATAAGACAAATTCACGTGCAGACGTAACTAACAACGCAGACATAAACGTGCACAATTACATGGTACCGGCAATCAAAATTTGTGATTGATTAATCTTATCACTTTGTTTACGTTAAGAAAACAGGCAGCTGTCAAAACCAGAACAAATTACTGTCTGATATACACCACATATATAAACTAACTTCCTCGGAATAGACGTATGACGAGAATGGGTCGATATTTACAATACAATGTGTTTGTGATAAAACGTGTCTCTGATGTGTTCATTGTTCAAAGGATAATACCTCGCACTTCTCTTTCGTTTCTACGGTCCCATTGATCGATGTAATGAGATTTGAATGCAGAGTACCGTTTTTATTTTAAGGTTTTTCTGATTTGATGAAAGGAAGCCACCTCATCTTTTTTTCAATGAAATGAGAAATAATCAAACGTAACCTTTAGTTGAAACTACAAAGATTAAAAGAATGATAACATTTGATAATGACCATGTACTCATTTCTTTAATATAAACGTTTACCTAGGCATCGTGTCATCTCTAGGGTATCTCTGTCAAACCAAGGGGTGTGTTATCTCTAGTATATCTCTGTCAAACCAAGGGGCGTGTCATCTCTAGTATATCTCTGTCAACCCAGGCATCGTGTCATCTCTAGGGTATCTCTGTCAAACCAAGGGGCGTGCCATCTCCAGAATATCTCTGTCAAACCCGAGCGTCGTGGTATCTCCAGAATATCTCTGTCAACCCAGGCATCGTGTCATCTCGAGAATATCACTGTCAATCCCGAGCGTTATGCCATCCCCAGAATATCTCTGTCAACCAAGGCATCGTGCCATCTTCAAAATATCTCTGTCAACCAAGACATCGTGTCATCTCAAGATGATCTCTGTCAACCCCAAGCGTTATGCCATCCCCAGAATATCTCTGTCAACCAAGGCATCGTGCCATATCCAGATGATCTCTGTCAACCCCAAGCGAGGGGTCATCTCCAGAATATCGCTGTCAACCAAGGCATCGTGCCATCTCCAGATGATCTCTGTCAACCCCAAGCGAGGGGTCATCTCCAGAATATCTATGTCAACCAAAGCATCGTGCCATCTCCAGATGATCTCTGTCAACCCCAAGCGAGGGGTCATCTCCAGAATATCTCTGTCAACCAAGGCATCGTGCCATCTCCAGATTATCTTAGTCAACCTCAAGCGTGGTGATCTCTGTCAACCAAGGCATCGTGCCATCTCCAGAATATATCGGTCAACCAAGACATCGTGCCATATCCAGATGATCTCTGTCAACCCCAAGCGAGGAATCATCTCTAGTATATCTCTGTCAAACCAGGGGGCGTGTCATCTCTAGAATATCTATGTCGGCCCAGACGTAGTGTCACCTCTAGAATATTTTTGTCAACACAGACGTCGTTACATCTCTAGAATATCTTTATCAACCCAGGGGGCGTGTCATCTCTAGAATATCTATGTCGGCCCAGACGTAGTGTCACCTCTAAAATATCCTTGTCAACACAGACGTCGTTACATCTCTAGAAGTTCTTTGTCAACCCAGACGTAGTGTCATTTCTAGAATATCTTTGTCAACTCAGACGTCGTTACATCTCTAGAATATCTTTATCAACCCAGGCGTAGTGTCATCTCTAGAATATCTTTGTCAACCCAGACGTCGTTACATCTCTAGAATATCTTTATCAACCCAGGCGTCGAGGCATTTCTAGAATATCTCTGTCAACCCAGACGTAGTGTCATCTCTAGAATATCTTTGTCAACCCAGACGTCGTTACATCTCTAGAATATCTCTGTCAACCCAGACGTAGTGTCATCTCTAGAATATCTTTATCAACTCAGACGTCGTTACATCTCTAGAATATCTCTGTCAACCCAGACGTAGTGTCATTTCTTGAATATCCTTGTCAACCCAGGCGTAGTGTAATCTCTAGAATATCTTTGTCAACCCAGGGGTCGTGTAATTTCTAGTATATCTCTTGTCAAACCAGATGAAGTGTCATCTCTAGAATATCTTTGTCAACCCAGGCGTCGTGGCATTTCTAGAATATCCCTGTCAACCCATGCGTAGTGTCATTTCAAGATTGTCTCTGTCAACCCATGTGTCATGTCAACACTAGGGTTTCTACGTCATCCCAGGGCGTCGTCTCATCTCTAGGATTTCTCTGATAACCAAGGCGTTTGAGTAAGAGTTTTAAGTACCAGTTAACTTATTCAACTAGCCTAGAAGTCATTTGGTAGATACGTTAATTATTTCACCTTTTATGAATTGGGAAATGCATAAGGTAGCAGTATATAGCTGATAAACGGTTGGTCACACAATGCTTTTAGGGTTTATCAATTGAACAATTTTCTCATTGCTCACACGTGAGTACCTGCGGTGGCTTCTCGAATTTTTCTCCGCGTATTCGCGACGCGAAATTGTTCGCACGAGAAACCCTGAAAACCCAGCGAGATCATCTCTAACCATCGGAACATCGCCAGAATATCATTGTCAAACTAGATCACATGTTTTTTTTTAACCAAAAGCATATTTCAAAAGAAAACAGAATAAAGTACGGACATTATAGGTATGCGTAAGAGTTAAAGTAATGTTCGAAACCTTTAAAGTTAAATAATTGATTTAAAAACGGTATTCATATTATATTTTTTTTTACATTCAAAACATATTAGAACTAATCAAAATCTGGATGAGAAATCTCAATGAAAGAGTAAAAGTGAAAATGTAAGACATAATCTACAAAATCTAAATATTTAGTCTTAACACTTATAGATACTGTATAATCTAAAAATACAAGATTTTAGACTAAAAACATATAGATATAATCTAAAAACATAAAGATATATCTAAAGTATAAAGATATAATCTAAAAATATAAAGATATAAGCCGAAGGATATATAGATATAATCTACAGATATATAAATATCATTCTAAAAAAAGACCTTTGCTTTCCGACACAAATTACTGGATATTCGATTAAAAGTTAGAAGGCAGGATAAAATCGATCCAATCAATTAGCGCCTACAGTATCTGAACACACTTGTCCATACATACTATTCAAAGATATAATGATATATAAACTAACCTGGTAGATGTTGTCATGTACACCTCGGATAACTCTCATCACGTGCTACAGAATCTCACGCGAAACATCTTAGTACGAAATGTCGTCTGCTGTCATAACGAAATGTCCATCTCAAGGCTTCTATCATCTCACACCAGCCTTCACCATTCAGTTAATTCACATCTTCATAATGTACAGCAATCATATAGTTGAGATTAACATACAAACTGGCCGAGGAGATGATGTAGTAGCAGTTCTAGTGTGTGAGTGCCTGACTGTGGCCGTACACTGTATAACACGTCCTCAATGCTGGCCGCTAGTGTCATTCTGCTCCAGCCTTATCCACTGCCTGACAGCCTGCTGAGACCGATGGTGGAAGCCGAGAGTCGACCTTTGTCATCAGCTAACAGCAATCTGATTTGGAAATATTGATATATCACGGGATATTTTTTTAGTTAAATTAAGTAATTTGAACGGCACGATTGGCATTTTTGAACGTAAACAATTTTAACGAATTTATCAATATCTTTTTTTTTTTTTGAGTTATATGGATTGGATTATATCTGACAAACTGATTTGGTAGTATTAACGTATATTACTTGCTAAATAAAACTCAACAGTTGAGTATTATACAAGGTGACATCTACTGTTTCTATTGACATAAGCGTGTGCAAACATTGGTGTCGGCAAAGAGCGCTGCTCTGTGTACATTGTTGTGTCGAGGGGCAATAGCATGAGTATCAATTGTCTGATATGAAAGCTATTTTTAATGTTTGCATTAACCAAATAACGTTTACATGAACGGACACTTTCCGATACCGATTGGCGTGATTATGTCTGCTTTATTGTGCAGGCTTTGTCATAGAAAAAGTATTCTTATAGATTGATAATATTCTTCGAAACGTGAAATGACAATTTAAAAAGAAGACTGCCCCCTGTGTTAACCCGCGTTTAACCATAAAACATGGAATCAACGACAACATATCTAGTGATTGCCTATTTTTGTCCTCCGTGTGTCGTTTATTATTCAGAAGTTGACAAGATAAATCATTGTCAGCGTAGAACAATAGAATCTATCAAACCTGTTTGTCATAGACTGAGACGTCTCAACCTGGGGCGAGGGGTTTGCGATTCAGCATATGGTAAGTCTTGCCATTGCAAGCATTGGAATTAATTTAAATAGCTGTTTCCTCAATCCCAATGACGGACACAGAAATGTTCGCATAATTCGAATACCACAAAGTTTATCATGGTTACTGTCACTGACACCAATACTATCCCGCGGACCTCCTTCCATAAACGCTGCAAGCCGTAGTTCCAAACCCTATTTAGTGATGTCCCAGCAATGTGTAGCATTCCCGCCTCGCAAAGTTGTTCTTGCTCGATTCCATGCTGCCATTAATTACCAGCATAACACTTAGGTGGCACAGCCATCGGTTTCTGGACATTACCTTTCATGTTTTCTGTCAGGTCAAGATGCGCTGTATTAGGGATGTTGGATCCTATCGTGTCTTGTCAATATGCGTCATATGTATATTTTAATGTGAAGGTTCATTCTCTAATCTTAATATTTTTATTTTTTTATAAGTCATATATTTTACATTCAAATAAAAGGGACTTTCACCCCGAGGTCAACCACAGCTATTGGCTAATGGAAATGGAATCCTTGAGTCTACCGTTGAGTAACAATGGGCTAAGTTATTTGTGACTAGTGCATTGCCTCTTTACATGGGCAGTTTATCAATCACATGTTGTTAGGATTTGTGTTTAAGGGTAAACGTAAATTTTACCGACTTTCATCTGGTATCAAAGAATCTGTTTTAACCAAATACAGTACCTCCTTGCCACTTTCTACCGCTTCATCTGCTGGACTGTATCTCAACATCTTATTCACAACAACATGTTTTCCACAGAATTCTGTTTCAGCCTTGATATTCGAAATTAGATGTTTTCTATACTTACAGGCCGAAAGAAGCCCTCCTCTCCGGCATGTGATTACTTCTGTTGCCGCACAATCATAGTCTTAACTGCTTCTTTTTACAATCTGTCTTGCAGCAGCAGTCCTTAACGGAGATGCCTTTAGTTTTGGACATTAACACTAAGCTTTTAAGTAACCCCGAGTCAGAATTTTGCATTTATTGGTATCAATAGTTCGTAATTGTTTCGTATGTTATCCACCTTAATTGAACTTTTCTTCACATACTCCTTTAGCTTCTGTTGTTGACCAGAACATTGACAATCATTCTATTTCTTTATTATAGATACGGGTATTGTAAATGTGTGAATGGATATAATTATAAATGTAGTGATTTCTCCAACTCAATATGAACCAGGAACTTTGTGGCACATCTCTTATGGTTTCCAGGGTTTTATACGAGGTCTTCACTCCCACAAGATGACAATTATGCAGATATTCTTTTTATCAAAAGTTGAAGAAACGTCGACGAAAGTCGCCTCTTGACTGACATTTTGAACAACTTACAGTCTTTTTCCAGTTATACATGTAAGAAGAGAGGAATTATAACGACAATAGTATAATTCGTAATCAGTGAGTTACAGAGCGCACCTTTCAACTTCTGTGGTATTCGTAAATTTCTTCCAGCGAATATTTAGAATTCGCTCGCTTATTTTCTGACAAAACGTGATGTCTTAAGCTTTGCTGTATCGATATGGATTCCTTCGCTAGTGGTTTAAACCAGCTTCTCTTTAGATGCGATTTAAATTGAAGACAGTGATGAAATGCTTCATAGTGAGACTACAATGCATGTCTCGGCATTCCTAGCGCTGCCGCGTTTATCCTTGTGCATGCAGTCTATGCAAACACATCGTTTTTATAATTAACCATTTACGAACCTTATTTAAAAACTTACTTCCATGACGGTTTTGTTTTGAGCATATTGAACATGTGCTACTGTCAAAAAGTTGCCTAATCAAAAATCTTCCTGGAACATATGCAGCTGGTTTGTGTTTAATTATTGCACTTTTCAGGTTTTCTAGCTCAACAATAATTTCATGTCATTTGCTTTTGTCACGATTGCTTCTCCTTCAGAACAAGACCTGGAACCGAGAAAATCGTTATTTCCTACACAAACATTGAATACAGACATGCTATGTGAGGGCAGGAAGTGTAGAAATGCAATAGGTTTTGATTTAAAGCAATAAGATTCCACTCTAGATAATAAAACGTATATGGAGATCCTCAGGTTGGGAGTATTCATCAAAAGTATTGGCTCGAGCAATATGCATCAAAATGGAAATGTACACTTGGGACATATAAATTCAAAATTTTAAATATAATGGCTTTGTTTAGATCTTGCAGTCGATATGATTACTCAAGATTAAAATATTGACAGGAGATTTAAACTGTGATAGGAGATAAACAATCGAAATACCAACACACATTTTAATAAAACAACTGGTGGACTCAGCTTTAACACAAACACTACATAGCACATTTTACCTGTCACCACTCTGAAGATGGGGATTGGCGACACCCTTGGAGATGAAGGGAGTATATATACCATGTAGGCGATCACAGACCACCAACCACTCTGAAAACACTTTAATTCCGAATTGACGTTAGATATGTTAACTAAGATTCTCTAGTGGGTGAACTTTGAGTGTACGTTAAAGAATTTTTTACGTTCTTCAAAATGATCTGAGTCTCAAATGTGTTAATATGTATGTTGACATCCTGGGGTTATATATTGTTGTCTGCTGTTGAACACCAGACTTTTAATTTGTCAAAGGGTATATGTATATCTCTAATTTCTTCATTTTCAAACAGTGATTGTGAGTTTTGAGACTTGCTTTTTAATTTAAAAAAGATATCTAACAAGGTTGGAAGGTGTTTTTAACTTTGACAATTGCTAACTAGTATTTTAAAGGTAAAGAAATTATCTGATTATTTGATAAAAAATAATTTGATAATTTTCATATCTATTTACATTTTTGAATATTTCTTTTGGGGTTGGGTGTTAAGTGTATATAAATTAAGTCATGTTTTCACATTCAATATATTGTGTGTGCTGTTTAAATTTTAGAGATAAACTAACTAAGAGCCCTATATTTTTGTCTTTATTATTTTCTTGTTAAGTCAAATGTATTCAGGTATTCCTCCTTGTTGGTGGTACATGCATGTTCAGGGATCCATATCAAATTTAAATTTTAGTTTATAAAAATGACACAAAACAAAATTTTCAGTTAGACTTTGTGGTATTCGGATTATCTCAGACATCAACAGAAGTATCTATTCTTGTAAACTTCCAAAATGAGACACTCTTATAACCTGACACTCACTGACCAGCAGTGTATGTACAACACTATCCACTAATACATGTGTTCAGTTACAAGCTGTTGCAGAGGATGCTGAAGGTTCCTGAAGGTCACATACCTGAAAAAATATTGAATAGGAAAAGTTAAAGTTACTATAATGGTCCATCTGTATGTGATATAGAAATGGATAAATTTGTCATATTAATAACAATAAGACACTAATGAAATTGGTGACCACATTGCTACACATTTTTAAATCAGTATTTTTAGTGATATATAACAGGTGTCCTACTATACATATAGCAGGCGCCCTACTTGCATTACATGTAATATACATGTAGCAGGGGCCATACTGTACATGTATTTTACAGGTGCCCCTCTGTACATAAAAGGGTCTGTTTTGTACATGCATTTAACAGGTGCCCCTCTGTACTTGTATTTAACTAAACCTGTATGAATATCTGGGAATAGTGTTATTTTGAGAAACAACTTAAGGTGGTTATTAATAAGTTTATTGTGATACTAAATAACACTTATTTGTCAAATTACATCTGAGCCATACTCATAAATCTTATAAACGAAAAAATTAATGTAGAAAATGTATAAATAAATTTTCATTCTTCATTGTACTTCTTTAGATGACAGTTCTGCTTCTATATAATGTATGAATAATATAAACATACTTTTTACAATTTTTTTTTCTTTTTCTGTAAACCTATGTATAAAATGTATTCATCGCTAAAATTATATTGTGATAAAATCATTCTGCAAAATGCGGAACTGATTGTGTAATGCATATTTGATTAAAGTAGGCATATATAGTAATTGCCCTTACTGTGAACTGTGTAACACAGAAACAGAGACACTAGAGCATGTATCATGGCCCGGGGATGTGACAAAGTACAATATTTTACAAAATTTTGAGTCCTTATTTTATGCATTAATTAATCGTCTGATTTTAATAAACAAACTTTTCTATTAAGTGCCTTTATCTATATAAGGAACTAAAAGTTAAATTATTTGCAATACATTTTTGAATATTGTAATGTTCTTTAATTGAACTTTTAGAGAGATGAAAACT